GTCAAATGAATATACATTCTCATTCATCCTGATTTTTTTGTGAAAATCTAACGTCTTTTAGTCTCAAAACTATGTGATTGTGGTCTTACTTTTATGTATTGCATCTGGAGCATCTTGTTTCAATGACCAACAGTAACCATCCATCATGCTAATGTTCCAGCTTCTATGATACCTCCCCTCTATTTCCCTGACATCTTGATGAAACCTTTCTCCTTGTTCTTCACTGACGGCACCGAGATTTTCAGGGAAATAGTCAGTATGTGAGTGTAAGAAATGAACTTTCAAGCTCATATTACAACCCAAATCTTTGAATTTATCGAGCATGTTATTGACAATATTTCCGTAATTTGGTTCCTTGTTGTTTCCTAAAAATTTGTCAATAACATCTTTAAAGGCACTCCATGCTTCTTTTTCACCAGACGTTTCAAGTTTAAAACAAACTCTATCATCATTTCTATTGACATCAGATTCAGAATTAGATGAAACTGTATCAAGAGTCTCCAGTGGAGTAGGTAAAGGTACATCAGGTCCATGAGCAACAGGTCTCATGGCATATTGAGGGATCAGATAAGGAATTTCCTTTTTTATTTCTAGTGTTGTAGCCTTGCACGTTACATAAGCAAAAATAGCAGTCATCTCTGTGGTTTCTATGCTCATGCCAGACCACTGGAATTCCAAAAGGCAAAGACTTTTTCTTACCTTTAGTTCATTGTCTCAACTCTTTAACACAAATGGTGCAAACTTTATGCAGAGCCCATGATTTGTCTTGGTCCCCATGTTATATTCCAAAATACATGTAATATGCTTTTTGATGAATTCTGTAATGTTTTGCCTTTGTTCCTTTACAACAAATTTATCAAATATATAACAGAATATGTTTGAGTCACTTACAGAATCTCTTGTTGCCATAGTGATGAATAAATAATACTGAAAAGAATAAAATAATGTCAAAGTGCATGCACAATAAATACTATCCAGAAATGACATGTTATGCAGCCATTTATATGCTAGCCTACTGCCTTTAACTATCTGCATCCAGTTGTGAGAGGGCAGTTACCCTTAAAATTCTTAAAGTAGAAATAAAACCACCCTAAAATTTCTACTCTACTTTTATATGAAGATGTTAAGTGGAACTAAATGGTCTTAAAGAGAACTACAAACCCCATCTTAATAGTTTTTACATACCCAACCTCCTCCCTTTCTCTTGAAGATTTATTCAAATATGACACAGGAAAGCCAAGACAAGCCCAGCTACTTGAAATTAGAATTTCCATCCTGGTATATTGAATAAAATTATATTTTGAAAGTTAGTTTCACATGGTAGAAATGTTAGGGTGGTTTCGTTTCTAACTGCCTTCCCACAACTGGCTGCAGACAGTTAAAGGCAGAAGGAGTTGAGATGTTGTGGGTGTAAGCACTCAGCTTTGTACCCATAATTGATTTTCCGTGATAGCTGGCTAAGTTATCCTCAGCATTTGGATATTGTCTGATGGGATATCCCCAATGCATTTGGATGCTATTACCACAAACAATATCAGTTATGACATCAAGTTGAAAGCTAGGATTGACAATGGCAATCTCAACGCTCAGAGTGAATGCCCTCAAAGATACAAAACTGGAACCATCCACGCCCTCATCCACTGTACCTACA